ATGATACCAACTGCTGTCATTTCAAACCACCCCAAGAGTAGTATGTAAAAAGTCTAGACTCTAGACACGGCTCCAATCCCGTGGAAAAGCTTCCAAGTCTTGAGGCACAGATCTGTGCCTAGCAGGTTCCAGGGCTCCCCTTGCTTCTCTGCTCGAGCCCGCAAAGTTTCAAACACCTGGGCCCAACGGTGGCGGCAGAAAAGGAAACCGAACCAATCACCACCCGCACCAAAAACCAAGAGACTCAGAGTCAAAAGCAAAACACGTTACCCTAAACCTCTAGCAAGCGTCAACCTTGTCTTGGTCGAGTTTGTGCAGTTCAGCCCAATGCTTTCGAAATTCAACTAATTTCTGGAACTGTTCTTCCGGGCCAAACTTCTGAAAACAGTTCTGCTTGGCACACTTGCATTGCCTACCCAACAACACACGCAAAGCGATCTGATCGTCTGAAGCTGGTCGCGACAGCTTCCGCTTCACCGGCTGCCGGGCGTGCTGAGAAGATGCTGCATCTGCTGACTCCTCAGACCCTTCAGCTGCAGCCACAGAGCTTTCACTCCCACTCAACGCCGCCACTGGAGGCAGAAGCATGGGCGCGCGCCCACAACTGCTCAATATAAACACCAACAACACAACAAAATGGTTAAAGTTATGATTTTTTTTCGCTACGTCATGGTCTATAGGGTATCTGAATCAGATTGGTGTCATGACAACCTGAAAACAACAACACGTCAACCTAATGTTTCTGAGCCTGGGGTGACCGGCGAACCAACACCATATGGAACCTTGCAACCGACACTTACGAAGAAAGGAAGTGCAACCACTCCTTAGACGACATGAAGCGGCGTCAAAAGTTAATACCCGCCCGTCGTCCACAACAGCCCCGGTCCGAGACGCTGACAGGTTTTATCCACACACCACAAAAGAGATGTGTTTTTTACTTGGGGGTCTGAAGGTGTCAGTGAGTTGGGTGGTTCAGGCAAAATCAATAACCAGTAATCTTACTGGCGACGCCACAGTCAAGTGTGAGACACCCAATCCCTGGCCAGCTCAAGAATTAAGACGGCGCATGATGTTTTTTAACGCCATCAACCCACTGTGGGCGGTAGCTGAGGGAGAGAGTTTGGGCGGTAGCTGAGCGAGAGAGTTTGGGAACCCCATTCATTTTGGGAACCCCAATGCAAGGAAAACTCTTTTATTGAACTGTTGCCAGGAGGTCTCTTCGGCGTTTGCCGAGTCGACATACTTGTCGATGTCTTCTTGGTTCATCTCCAGTATGGCTTGCCAAGGTACTTCCTTGTCCAGGGCCTTTTGTTCCTGGCGTGTCAGGGTCTTGGTGGTGCCCTGGTGTCCAGCCGTCATGTCATCGGCTGAGGCTTCAGAGTCGCTAGACTCACCGGTGCCAGTGTAGCCTGGGACTGCCCGGTATGCCTGAAAGGCATAGTGGCAAGCATATGGCATCTTCACATGTTCACTGCCATCCTGGTAGTGGTCTCTGAACTGGACGCCGTCTGGAGTTGTTTCCAGTGAGGAGAGATGTGCTGCATAAGGTTCATGCCATAGCTCTGTGATCAGGTTTGTGCGCTCTGGGAGAATTGTGCACCATCTTGATCGCTGTCGCACGGAGCGTCCCATACGACCTTGCCGTGAGGGTGAGTGAGAACCCTCCTGTGCTGGATGGATCCTTTGGGCGGACCCGCAAAATGGGTGGTCTGGAGGCAATGTGATGCTGTGTCAAGTCTGGCCCAAACGTGAAGGCCAGTGCCTGTGGTGTTTGCTGCCTTTGCTATGTTCTGGTATCCATGAAGGATGTAGGTGTTGTTGCCAATCCGCTGCTGCCGAATGTGTTTTGTAAGCAGCGCTGCGAAGTCTGCTGATGCTCGTGGTGCTTGCTCTGGTATCGGCTGCTCCGTCTCGGTGCTGCTCCTCTTTGTTGCGAGCTCCATCTGGTCGCTGCCGACAACTGCTTGGTGTTCTATCACTCGTTCCATGAGTGATCTGTATGTTGCATTGCGGCGCTCAATGAGGCCTATCTTGTTGTGTGCTTCTGCCGGAACGTAGTCCATGTAGACACCGGCTTCATCCATATAGCTGCTTCAAAGGCGGCTCGGAACGAGCCATCTGGACCTGTTCTGATCCGGAGTGGAAAGCCAAATGCCCTGGCCCAACCTAAGGTGAAGCAGCGGGTGAGCGGTTCTGGAGGAGGAAGCCCAAGTGGAGGTGAGTGACTTCACAAATGACTTCAAGGATCATATGGTTTGCTCCTGTCAGGTCTCTGACGTAGAAGATGTCCATCTGGACTCTGTCGGCAAATTGGGAAGCTCCATCATCGGCCATCACGCCACTTGGAGCAGGCCTGGATGGCCCTTTGGTGCGATTGCATGTATCGCACGACATCGACTCAACGGCTGTGTGGATCCGCTGGTCGGAAATGCCGTTCATAGCAAGCAGTCGTTTGAGTTCTGCTGGTCTGGGATGTGCAAGGTTCTTGTGCATCCGACGGAGGCTGTTCTTGATCTCCGCACTGATCTTGAGAGTATCAGGGAAGGTGATGTCCTCCGAGGGATTTGGCATAATGCTTCTTGGGTTGTCATCTGGCCGGTCTGATGCCTGTGTCGTGGCTGTGTCGTCCTGGTCTGGTCGGAGGCGTTTGGCCTCTGGAGGATGTGATGCGTGTGGTTCTGCCTGCCGGGCTTGTCCAAACATGAAAACGCCAACGTCCACTGGCTTCTTGAACCGTGCCTTTGGGTGACGTAGTTCTTGAAGATCTTCTTCAATGACATCTACCTGGCCGTCGGTGTATCTGAGCACGGCTGCCCTGTGGGTGTGAGGCACGTGCCAGGGAAACCGCCAGGTGATTGGTTGTGCTGCAATCTGAACCCTCTCCATGCGCTTCCATTGAGAAAGCTCCAAGGCCTTGAGGAAGAGGGGATCTGAAATAGGCAGCGTGAAGGACTTGTATCGAGTGACTTGGAAGGTGCTGTCAGCCATCTGGAGTGCTTCTGCCCATTGGTCAACTGCTGTGATCATGAACGTGGTGAAAAAGGTACGGGGCTGGTGCTGTCGATCTGGATGTCGGTGGTGTACCTCATCTCGCACGCCCCTGAGGATCTCGGCGACCATCTCTGGTGGGTAGCGCTGTGACAAGGTGGTTTCCTTGCCTTGGAGTGGCACACATTGCTTCTGCTGGTCTGGTGTGAGCTTGCGGCTCAGACGTGCCAGTACATGAGGGCAGTTGCCCATGAACCTGTGCCCCTTCCTGATCATGTTGCCCTTCGAGTCCTGGGCTCCATCTGATCCGGCATGACAGGTTGTGGTGGTCACGCCGGGAAGGTTAAGCAGGCTGGTCATGACGGGCTCGAACCAGATCCGGCTGGTAGTGGGATTTTCCAGCAGGAACATGCGTCCTTCATCCACTTGCTTGCGGCACCCACCATTGGCAGACCTTCTTCAACAGTCTGCGTGCCTTGGCTCGACGCATGAGCAAAAGAATCTTCCTCCTGACATAGTTGGTGTTGTCCTGAAGGATGCACCAGTCGCGGCAATCGATGCCCTGAATGAGGATCAAGGGCTTGAGTTGATCCAGTTGCCACTCGACTTCTTGCTGGTGGGCGGTCTTCTGAAGGTCCCATCCGGTTGCATAGTCGATGGGCGCTGCCGCACTAAGGCCAAATTGGCCGCTTCTTCTGGAGATGTTGGCTTGTCCTGCTGAATGTCTCCAGGATGTCAACCTTGGACCGTGTGTCCCGTGACTTCTTGAAGTGCTCGAGCAGGTGATCATCATCCTTGGATTGGCTCACCAGGTCATATTCTATCTTGTGGACACGGTGCAGCTCTCTCAGCTTGCCTCGAAGAGCCCTTCGAGCGGCTGATGACAGAAGGCCTGTGGACTGGTTGTTCGAATTCTGGATGGTGAAGACCGTCCGGCCAGTCCATGGCATCTTGAGCTGAGTCTCCTGGTGGCTCCTCCAATCATATTGGACGGTTTCAAATGTCCCGTCTTCATACTGTACCTCTGCTCGGCATTCTGACCATAGAAGGTGTTTTGGAATCGGGCAGTCTTGGTGATGAAGGTTGTACAGCAACAATCGAGGCATGTTGTGATGCCTCGTGAGCTTGTTCTTGCCCTTTTCCCAATAGTCATGGTCACTGTCCATCATGCCCTCCAGTCCCAGCTCTCCAGATCGGAGTGGTACTGATCCGGATTGTCTGAGGTCGGCTCCCTTTCCTCGTAGCATTCCATGATGTTCTCGAACTCCTCTCGAGTGTACCCCGATCCCTGGTAGTCGTTCATCGTCAGGTCGTGCATCATGGGTCTCATGGAGCCTGAGCTGGTGGTTGATCTGGTGTCGGAGGGCCGACGTGGTGCTGGCTTGCTCTTGCTCTTGGCTGCTTTGGACTTGCTCTTGGCTGCCGTGGTCCTGTGAACCAGTTCTGACGGAGAGAGGATTGTGTCCTGTGAGGGTAAGGGCAGTGCAGACGAGCTTGAAGATGTTGGTGAGTGTACCGCCCAAGCTCCGAGCTCTTGGTTCCACTTGAACCTGTTGATCGCATCTCTTGCACTTGGCGAAGCGGCCGTGGAGGTTGCCGTATCGCTGGAACTCGGGGTGAGTGCAATGCCTCTGTGACACCATGGTCCTCTGCATCTGTGCACGATGCTTCTCCTGCAGCTCGAGCAATCCCATGCTGCTGAGCCATGTCCTTGGACGGATTCCGAGGCGCACCAGCTTGCGCATGGACTTGATGACTTTGAACTCCAACAGGAACAGGCGGAGGAGAAAGGTCCTCCAATGTTCCAGCCATGTGGGTGGCTGTCTCGTCGACGGACTGGCCCGCATAGATGAAAGCCGTGGTGGAAACACCGTCTGAAACAGCCAAAGCTTCGGGATGCACGACGAGTTCGGGGGAAGGTTCATGCCCAAAACGATCATCTTGCAAATCACTCCAACAAGACATGTGCGAGACTCTCGGAGGGAATGCCGTGATGCATGCAACCAAATGTCCGTGCTTGCGTTTCAATGGAACACTAATGCCAACAACTGCAAAATGCAAAATGCCTTGATGCATGTCAATGACACAGCCCAACTGTTCCATGAGGATGCGACTAGCCAAAAACGGAATGTTGACATCCAAAACGCTTGCGCCCAAAACAATGCCCTGAGTCTCCTGACTGATGAAGGCAGCTGGAAAGTAGCAGCGGGTTGCTGCTTGCTGGCATGCACCTGCACCGAACTGGAATCGATCGTCGCATGGTACTTGGTGACATTGCAACCCATGGTTTCCCAACAACTTCATATGTGTACCCATCCACCGGCTCCCAGCACATGACCGTTGACACGCCGTGTCCAACACCATGTAGCCAGCTAGGTCAATGGTCTCGGTGACATAAACGAAGGGGGCATCCGGAACATCTACCATGAGGTTGGCCGGGAAGGTGTAGAAGGGATCTTGTGGATCTTGTTGTTGTTCATCCCCATAGGTCACCACGAACGTCTTCTTGGGGAAGGTGGACGAGGAAGTCGAGGATTGGGTCCCCCCAGTTGCAGTCTTGCTCTTGCCTTTTCCTCCTTTGCCAGGGCCTTTGGCCGAGA